GATAGCAAAGGAAAAGAAGAAGATCAGACAACAAATATTAACAGATAATAGAGAGTGTAAAAAACAAGAATATAGAATAATTCGAGGAACATTGAAAGCTCTGTGTAGAAGGAAAAAGAGATACCACAATGAGTTGAAATTAAAAGAAATAGAAGAGAAGTTTAAAATCAAGAAGTTAAAAAGATGGAAAAATTTGGTTAAAGTTAACCAAAACCACTGTAGTTATATGAAAAGTAAAGACGGAAATTTAATTAGCGATCCAGCAGAATTAATGCCTGAATGGAAAAAACATGTTGAAGAATTATTAAATGGTGAAGTGGACCACGAAGCAGTAGACAACTGGACGGTTGGAGAATATGCGATAGTTGAAAACAGCCTACAGAGGAGGAGGTGGTGACAGCAATACAAGAAATGAAAAATAACAGAAGTCCTGGTAAAAATGACATATGATTAGAAATGATCAAGTTTGGCGGAGAACAACTACAAAGAAAAATATATCAGTTACTAGTGCAAGTATGGGAAAAAAATAATGCCATTAGAGTGGTATGAGGCCCGCATATGCCCCCTGCATAAAAAATGAGACAAACTGAAGTGTGACAACTATCGAGGTATAGCCTTACTAGACACGATATACAAAATCTTGGCAAGAATACTGAGAAATAAACTAAATTGCTACACGGAAAGAATCCTACATGAGTATCAGGCCGGCTTTAGAAAGGACAGATCTACTGTAGACCAAATCTTCCCATTAAAGGAGATACAAACGACTTGTTATGAAGGTAAAGTTCCCCTGCATGTTTTGTTTGTGGATTTTAGACAAGCATATGATAGAGTCAAAATATATCGAGAAATGGAACATTTAAGTATACCAAAGAAACTGATCCGGCTAGTTAAAATGACAATAAATAACTCTACATGAGAAATTGCTTGACAGGGTCACATATCAGATCAATTAACAGTTGCAAAATGCTTGAGACAGGGAGATCCTTTATCCACTACCTTATTCAACTTAGTGTTAGAAACTGTAATAAGAAAATGCAGCATGAAGGTGGAAGAAACGATCATGAACAATGAGCACCAGTGCTTGACATTTGCTGACGATCTAACGATCCTAGCAAAAACCGAGAAATAATTAAGACGAGTTGTGAAGAAAACCATCGAAGAAGCACAGAAATTCGAATTGGAACTAAATGAAGACAAAAACCAAATATATGATCATGGGAGGGACAGAAGGGAAAAAAGAAAACTTTAGTGTGAGGTCTGTAAGTTGTAAAAGCTATAGTTTTAAAAGGGTGGACAAATTTGAATACCTGGATGTAGTTTTCGATGAGAATGGAAAAGAGAAATGGGAGCTCGAAGTCAGAATAGCAAAAGGGAATAAAAAATTAGGTAGTTTAAGAGCCCTACCGAACACAAAATACGTTTCTAGATAAGGTAAACTCAGAATATATAAAACAGTAATTCGAGCCACAGTAACATATGCCGGTGAGATATGGATATTAAATAAGAAGGAAGTGGATACTCTGGAGTGGGAAAGGAAAATATTGAGACGCATATTCGGAGGACGGAAGACAGAAGATACTTGGGAGAGAAGAATCAATAATGAGTTAATGGCTTTATACAAAGAACCTACCATTACCAAGTTCGTCAAGTCACAAAGAATCAGATGGTTGGGACATGTGGAAAGAATGACAGCAAACAATGCCTAAACTAGTAATAACCAGAAAACTAATCGGCCCCAAAAGAAGAGGTAGACCCAGAACGAGGTGGATTAGTAAAGCGGAGGAAGACCTTAAACACGTGAAGGTGGGGGACTGGAAAAGAAAAGCACAAAATAGAAGCGAATGGAGAAATATTGTGCACCAGAGTAGTTAAAATGTTATATATACATATTTAAGTTAAAGTTTTGTTTAAAATAATTGTAATTAGTTAATATTAGAATTATGTTTAAAAAAAAGCCCTAGGCCTTAACGGCCTGTTATGCGTAAAAATAAAATTCATTTTCTAATTTTATTTTATTAAAGAATGATGGATAATATTTAATTACCTTTTCTAATAGATATCTTGGAAATTCTTTGACGTAACTTTTAAATTTTGAATCGTTAAAGAGGTCAAAATTTTGCAAATATTATACAAACTTTCAATATACCTATATTCGTTTTTCGTGACCTGACCTGACACTGCGTATATATTGAACATTACTATTCTTACGAAAATTAATGTCTTTACACGTATCCTGTAAAACTAAATTATTAAATGCGCATGACAATGATTAAATAGGGCTTGCGGTGCAATAGTTTTAACTTTTACCTGAAGGCCATTCAATTCATCGGACAATACGGCAGCGCCGTCAAAGTTTGCCCTGCCGATTTATTTTTTATATCAAAAATATATTCTGGCTTATGGCCGTTAATCACGTCTGTAAAACTTAAAAACCTCTCATAAATTTTACCAAGTAATGCGTATGGAACAACAATTGATAATTGTGAATGACATGATATATCAGTACTTTCATCTACTTCTAGCGAAAAGCAAATAGTTTCCTGAATCTCAGATTCAAATTTATTCAAAATGTAACTAATTGATTCTATTAATTAATTTTTATCAATTAATCGACGTAAAACTGCGTGATTATTTTTTACAATTTCGATATGTTTAATGGCATTTTCATCTAATGAAACATAGATACTTTGTTTTCCAAATAAATCTAATTTAATCTGGCTGTATGTATGATCTTTCGAAATGTCATGTTTCTGTAAAGACCTAAATAATTCCTTTAAATTATCGTAACCAGATTCATATCACGAATTTTGATATTTGCCCCATTTATCGAAAATAAGAGGCAAAGCCAACAGAAAAGTATTTTTTTATTTCACTTCCAGTAAGCCATGAGTACTTGTACCAATTATCCGAATATAATCTATTACTTTCCTTACCCCGCACTTTATAAGCCGGGACATTTTAGACAAAGGCCGCCCCTTTTTTAATATCAATTTATTTTTATGGAATAGATGAAAACCCATTTTGCAAAATATCATTTATCAGTGCCTACAGTTTCTCTTATATATTGCACTTTTTAGTCTAATTTACCTGAATTTGTTTACACTTTAATTTTAAAAAAGAAAAAACTTAAAATATATCAAAAAACCCTTAAACTATTTACGGCAACGATAACTTATCACTGTATTACTTTAAAAAATAAAAACAAATCAATACAAAACGAATCGATCGATACGCTCTCAGGAAAGCCATTCAGTGCACCATCACTGTACTTATTCCGAAATAACATTTCATTTGCGGTCAACACCAATGAAGCATCGGCAAATTCAATTCTGCCGTACCTACCGTTTAAAGACGTACGGAGAGAAATGTATATTTGGTTGCCTATCGACTATTTCGTTGATTTTTACATGTAAATCGTCAAACTTGGGATCAGCTTTCCGAAACGGGTCTGTATAAGAATTCACCATTCGGATGCATGACTTGGATCTCGGATCATTAATTTGAAAAGTGTCTTGATGCGCAGGAATTACTTATCGCTCGAATTTGTTGAATTCTTTTAAAAACCATGAATAACATTTAGTCTGTACTATCTCACAGATATTTTTTTTATTTCGAAGAAAAAAATTACATAAATTTATTCTTCTTAAGGTGCCTTCTCCATTATTGAAGGTTGGCTATAACTACAGCAAATTGCTCTCTATCTTGAGCTGTTCTAAGCTAATCAACTTATTATCCGCGATAATTATTGAAATACTGATTAAATTAAATATTAAAAATATCTAAAAATGTTTGGGTCGACACACCCTGAGCGGCCGCCACTGATAAATAATAAAATTGTTCTACAAATTAAACGTAGTCGCAAAAATATAATACATTTTTTAGGTCACTTCTAAAAGTCAGACCACACGTAGTGCAAGAATCTGTATGACGTGTTGCATTTGATTATATTGACGTAAAATGTTTGACACATTTTGAATTGTCAATACATATTTTTATTTTATGTTTTAATTACAAACGATAAATTTTACCAAATACCACTATTACTAGTGAACAACAAATATTACTTTGTAAAATTATTATTAGTACATTTTTAATCAAATTTATTGTTTTTTAAATAATAAATCACAAAATAAAAATTTTGGAAATTCAAATATTGTCAAATATCAGAATCATCAATACGACCAAACACAACACGTCATACACATTCATACACTGCGTGTGACATGACTTTTAGGGCCTGAGCAAAATTTTGTAACACATTTAATTCGTAGAACAATTTTAACATTTGTTTTGGATACATATTTCAGTCATCTACAAATAGTTTCTTATGACTTTTGGTGTAAAATAATTAGGGAAGCAGGAATTCAACAATTTAGAATTTTTTTGTAAAATTTTAATCCTGAATTCATCATCAGTATTTCTGTAGCTGTTATAATTTTTGCTACACAATTTTTCCGTATAGCTCCATACTATGCATTTGTAGAGAAATATATACGGATGAATAGAATTAGAATCTTTAATGAATAGAAAAAATTATGTATTTGGCTCCTATATTAATTAAGAGACTTTTAATTAAGAGAGAGGCATTGTCCCTGATTTTTATAAAACTTTTAATCCTGAATTTCCCATCAGTTTGTCTGTAGACGCTACAGTTTTAGCTGCACAATGTTTCTCCACAGTTCAATACCATGCTTTTGTAAAAAAATATATACCTATACGCTACTTTGGTAAAATTATGTATCTTTCTATTTTTTCTAGTTTTCTTGTAACCGAAAATAAAACCTGTCAGTTTGCTAATCTTTTCCATCATGAATCCGAAATTAGTATTTCTGTATCTGTACAGTTTTGGCTCTATGGCTCGGTACTATACTTTTCTACAATGTTAATTTGTACTAATCGCTAATATATTTTTATTTCTGCTGCTGCAATACAATAGAGGTATTTAAGAAAACCTGTTTTTTTAAAAAAAGATGAAATTAATTTACTAATTGGAAAATTAACAATCATAAAAGACATACGCTGAGTTATGTACACGAGACTATCAGTTATATCATATTTAACAAAAATACATTATACTTAAATAATCTTATCCTTAAATCAATCATATATTGCATAAAATTCGTAACTAGACAGATAACATTCAGTAAAATTGTAAATCCTAAATTGTATTACTAATTGTCAGATTGAATTTCTTCTCCATCGCTTTTGAACTGAGAAGAGACCCATGCCAGACCCCATTTTAGATTAGTCAGCATAAATTTCAAAGCTTTGGTCCACTGTTCCTCCGAATTTAACTGAATTCTAAAACATACAAACAATAAAAGATAAATATGCTTAAAATATATAAATAAACCAAATAACTACTATAATAAACTTTATTAGGATAAAATGAATGATAAAAACAAATAGTAAAAACTAATATTAATATACCTACTGCTAGTCATCGAAATCGTTTTCATATCAGCTATACTTACTTTATGGAATAACTGGCATCTTTATCTTCTATTTTACCCTTGTTGGTTCGATATGGAAAGCAGAAAGCTTTACTTCCCTTCTCTAAGGTTTCCACCTTTTCCTGAAATTGTTGAAGACAGTCCAAAAACGCTACCATTCCACTGTCAAATTTCGTATCCCATAAAAACTTAAACCCGCCAGATCCGTACAATGGAAATTCCTTATCATCATCTAGAGACTAAAATAAATAAAAAAGTGAAATCAAATTTTCTGTAATATTATACATTATTTTTAAAAACATTCCTTAGAGTAATTTAGTATGTGTATATAAAAATTTAGAGGTTGAAGACCAAACATATTTTATAAACTATATCTTCTGACAGCTCTGACATTTTATATACAAAGACCTCGAGGTCAAAAATGGGTTCAAACAAGGCGATCTCCTTCCTACGCCACTGTTGAACTTAATACTTCTAATACTACTTAAGTTATTATGGGGCAAAATAGAATAGAGTCAAAATATTTTTACATTAAATATTACATATATCTCGGAGTCAAAATGGTATGTCATACTAAGTCATTTTCAGAAAATTTGACATTCGTGCTTTAATCTTTAGTAATTTAAAATTTAGTCAGTAATGTAAAACTAACCCCACTTTGATAAATAACGGAAAACCCTTCTTTATCATTTCGTAGTCAACAAAATTGTTTTTCTTTGTAATAGCCGTTATTATTCTGGCCCAGTCTTTATAGTACGAGATCCCACTGCAAAGTCAATACGTTAAAAAGTGGCCGCAAATAATTTTAATTTTAATTATAATTAATTTTAATTTAATGGTAATTAATTTTTGAACAAAAATTTCGTTCATTTATTTTTTAAATAAAATAGCCGCTTGCGACGGATATGTATGTTTTTTTACATCAAATTAAAGTATTTTTTAATATGATGATATAAGATTACCTCAGAAAAAATGGTCGCAAATTTGGAATGCCAACTTTTAAAAACGCGAGGTATCAAAGATAAAGTAAAAGAGAGCTAGCTCGGAACTCTGACTTGACAAGAATGGCGAGTGTGAGATTATTCTGACAAAGTTTTAAAGCTCGTTATACTGTTACTAGTAATTTTGGCCGTTGCATGCGACGGGAGAGCCGATCAATTGCCACCTACAGTCACTCATTAACTTAAAAAAACAAAGAACGGGGAGTGCCGACAGAAGTGAACACTTTATGGAAAGCTAGGGCCAATGGTCGGTTGTATTTGATGGACTTTTCTAGAATCCCTTTTATGCGGTGGAGGTAGTCGTTGATGTCAAAGTTTTTCCTACAACCTACAACCAAAATAAGATTTGTAAAAATCTAATTTTGTTTCTAGTCTATTTGTTATTATCCTTGTGAATAACTTGTAGAGGTAATTCTCGAGATCTGTTGGATCGCTCTTTTTGTGTAATAAAATGGTAAATAGACTGTGCCTTCTTGTGTATCTTTGTTGGTAACGATATTTCCATCTTTATCCTTTAAAATAAAATACAGCATATTTGCATTACCCATGAATACTGCAAATTATTAGACCGGTATACAGTAAATGCCCAACCAAATTCGAGCGGCAATAAGGTCTAAAGGTGATGCTGCTGCGTTTTAAAAATAAATATTTGTTCACAATAGTTAGTTGCCAATATGCCCCAATATTTAGTTGATAATAAAATGAACATTCTTTATTATCAATTATTTCTGTTTGAGTAAGTATATTTTGTTTTGTGTTACTGATTGAACTAATTGCGTAGTAATACATTAAAACATGATTAGAAAAAAAAAACGGGTGTGGCAGTCCAGTGGGACTGCCGGTAGGTAGAAGTTATACTTCCATACACGCGTTCGTCGCTAATGCGACGAAATAAAATATTGCGATGTTCGCAGAAAATACACAACGTTCACAAAATGAGCAGTCGCTTTATAATGCATGGTGTCAGTCGGAAGAAAATGTTAAGAGACTTAATATGGATAATCAACGGTTGAGTCAAATAATCGCCGATATGGAAAAGAGATTAGCACAGCTGGAAAAAGCCGAACAACATACAGGGTTAACCGCAAGTGCTGATGAATCACAAAAGAAATTAAAAACAGATAAATTTGAATACTGCACCGATGAAGAAGATTTAGCGTATGAAACGGGCTGGATAAGAACCGAAAACAGAAAAACTAACAAAAAACTTAAAAGGGTACCTCATTATCTCCTCCCTCTCCGCAAAAATCAAGTGCAGAAAAACAAATTGAAAAACCAATCAAAAAACCAAAACCACCGCCTCCGGTTGTAGTAGAAGGTTTTCAAAGTGCTGTTGACCTGAGCAAGCTTCTAACTGAGGCTGGTATTACCTTCACTATGAAAATAATAAACAGTGAAGTTATAAAAATTAATACAGCCAATAGCGATCATTACAGAGCTTTAATAGACAAATTAAATACGAGTAACCTTTCGTACCACACTTATGAAAATAAGCAAGAGGGACCAATTAGAGTTGTTGTTAAGAAATTATATCACACATGGCCACCAGAGGAAATAGTAAAAGATCTACAAAAACGACAATATAAAGCCATTAAAGCTGACAAGAAATTCAAATGGAAAACTAAAAAACCACTAGATATGTTCATCCTAACTTTTAGACAGGATGAAGATATAAATAGAATTTACGGCATAAGAGACATACTTAGTACGAGAGTTGAAATCGAGCCATTGAGTTCCAGATTAGTCCCACAATGTAAAAGATGCCAGGCTTACGGACACACGTGGAAATACTGTAAAAAGGAGCCAAGATGTGTAAAATGTATTGGTAAACACCTTACTAAAGATTGCCAAAAACCACCAGAAGATAAACCAAAATGTGTTCATTGTGGAGAAAACCATCCTGCAAACTACCGCGGATGTTATGTAGCTAAAAAATTACAAACAATAAGAAACGAGAGAACAAACAAAGACAATGTTATAAAAGCGCCCCATAGAGTTATTGAAAGCAAAAAACAGAAGTTACAGCGATGTAAAAAAGAATGCAAGGAGACATGCATCATCGCAACAAGAAAAAGAAACTGATATTACATTAAAAATGATATTGGAAAAGCTCACCAAGATTGATGACAAAATAACTCAAATCGATATCAGAGTTACCCGACTAGAGCATAGCACTAAAGGAGCTATTCCGAAAATCAGAAATGGCTAAAGACCTCCGAATAATGGCGTGGAACGCAAATGGACTGTTACAACATCAGATCGAGTTGCAAGCATTACTAGATATTGAGAAAATTGAGGAGACACTAGTGAAGAAGCGACTGAAGATAACTGGACCAGAAAATGGCGAATAAAATTAAATGAGACTAAATCTGCACACATTAACTTTACAAATAAAAAAATAGAAAACTTCCCAGTTAGAATAAATGATACCCGAATTCCTTATGCAACATCAGCAAAATACTTGGGCATCACCCTAGACGCGAAGCTGCGCTGGAAAATCCATGTCAAAAAGAAAAGAGGGGAGCTTGATATTAGATATAAGAAATTGTATTGGCTGATTGGAAAAAATTCAACATTATCAATTCATAATAAATTATCCATCTACAAGCAAGTACTGAGGCCAGTATGGTTATATGAGTACGAACTCTGGGGCTGTACCAAAGCTAATAATCTACATATTATCCAGAGATTTCGAAACAAAGTACTGAGAAACATTGTTGATGCTCCTTGGTATATTCGTAACAGCAACCTCCACCAGGACCTGGGTATGGAAACTGTGATCGAAATAAGAGAACAGCAGCAAGTCACGAGCAGAGGCTGCTTAGTCATGTGAATGTCGAGGCAATCCAGCTTCTTGACAACACTGAACTAAAGGGAAGACATCATAAGGACAAAACCATTTGAGCTAGTGTGTGTAACAGTTTAGTGTAAAAAGCAGAGTATAGGGCTCTGAAGTTATTGCATGTTAGTTGTAGTGCATTAGTTAATAGATAAAATAAGAGTAAGCCATAGGAAAAGCCCTTAGATTTAACCGCACAGGTGTTAAAAAAAAAATTTATAATTTTAGTTTACTGCAGATAATTGTCACTGCAATCTTGTATACTCAAGAATAAATTATTAAATGATCTTACAATTGTAAATAATTTATTTATTAAATATTGTCATACACCATGCTACTTTACTCTGTATTCATATTATGACTAAAATTCAAGTCGTAAATTTTACATTGAATAAACAAAATGCACAGAAAGATTAGTACTGGTTCGTATCATTACATTTTTGCTTTACTTTTCTCGAAACTACACCCACATGAGAGTGCAGTTTTCGACTAGGGACATATGGTTTCCGGAAAGTTTATTCTTTAATTATCAACAATATATCGTTTAACTTTATACTTTTAAGTGTCTGATATGTAATTTAAACACACCCACTGCTTCAAGTTTACTAAAGATGGTCTGATACGATCAAAAACGTTAATTCTGAACAATTTCAACAATTGTAATTAATTTGTATTTTTGATTTAGTGTTTCGTTAAATATATACCAATTACACTACAAGTTTTTACTTTGATGTAAAGTTTTTTCATAACATATTTAATAAAATAAAGAATAGAAGAAACATATTTACTTACCACAATATGTGAATGGTTTCCAAATGGGACTAATCGAAACCTTTCAAAAGTCAGATTTATTTTTCGGGCTAAAGATGAAAGCAACAACGCCGTTTGACCCCAGGCCGCGTTAATTTCTGACCAATCGACAGGAGCGGATGGTAATCGTCCTAATCTGAAGTTATTAATTGTCCCAAAATGGCCGTTATGCCATATGTGAAATGTTGCATTAAAAACATTGGTTCTCTGTAGTTTGTCTAATTGATTTGATGTGTAGTTGAGTTGACACTCTAGACTGAAAATAATAAGGCATATTATGGAAATCAGTGAAAAATATTGTATTTAAAAAAATCCTTTATAAAAGGTATAATAAAAAAACCCATCGAGCTACATCACAGAACGTTTTCGGAATAACTATTCCATTATCAGTGCTATCTGGATGTGCATATTTGAAGCCACTAAATATGTGGGTAAAAACCCTATAAATGTAGTTTGATTAACTTTGAGTTACATCTTTAATAGTATGATGTTTAGGTTACAAAAGGAATTAATCACATGGCAACGTAAGACTCTAGTGTGGTTGCTAGTCCTTAGACGAAGTGTCTGTGAGGACTTGTTGATAGCAACTCAGTTGATTATTGAACTTATTGATCTAGAGATAATGGTATTAATGACTGAATTAATTTCTGAAGTTGGGTAATGAGAGTTGGCATGCAAGTAACGATTGCTATGAGTGAGTCTTCGATAAACAGTGATGAAAACCTTGGGATTGGTTTTTCTTTATGATAACGTCGAGAAACGGTAGGGATAAATCAGTTTCCACCTCCATCATGAACTGTATACAGGATGTACACTATTCAGATGGGTTTGAAAATTGGGAAAATAACAATGCTATTAATTGAATTATTTGATATTATTCTAAGTTGGTCACCACTAGGTATGTCATCTAAAGAGGAACCATAGCTTTGTAAATAAAAGTATTTATTAATGAGAGAGGATGGATAGGAATTCTTAATCAGAATATTTCTTAGTAATTGAAGGGATTCCCTTCGATTACTCGGATGTGTCAATCTATTTAGCCTGCAGCTTAAAGCTTTAATTAGGTTTAATTTATATTTGAAAGGATGACGCGAATGGTAGTTGAGAAACCTATTAGAGGCCATCGGTTTCCTATACCAACTTGTGGTTAAGGTGTTATCTCCCATTCTAATGACACGCATGTCTAAAAAGGGAATACTATTGGTGACGGGGTCCTCAAGTTCAACAGTGAACTGTAAATGAGGATCAAACTCATTAAACATAGACAAGGTGACCTGAATATTGTCTGGGTGTAAGGCTAATAATAAATCATCCACATACCGCTTAATAAAAGGAATTTAACATTCTAAGAGACCCAAACGGTCAGATACCAAATCATCCAGTACAAAATTAACTAGGATGGGAGAGATGGAGGAACCCATAGGTGTACCAAATATTTGAAGATAATATTTGTCATCAAAGACCAAGAAATTAGTGTCAAATACTAGTTGCAATAGTTCTGCATTGTTGGGTTCCTTAAAGACAGGTTGTCACCCAAACTCATCTTACTCTTTAAATAAACCGCTCTATTATTAGGGTTGGTAATTCACCTTGCTGATCTGTCATAATTCATGACCTCAAGGTTACTGTCTTTTCATGTTGTTGGCGCCTTTGTTCTAATCTAACGCCATTTTACCGCGGCAGTCTAGAAGCCTGGAGTGGTAATTTCATTATACATTAAATTATTAAATTTCAATATTAATCACTTTAATGATGCTGCCTAAAGTTAAAATTAAATCATAACTATTGACATATCGTTGGAAGTGCATCTTTGATTTTCTTCGTTCTTCAATCTCTTGTTAATGTTTCTTTACTTATACATGTATAATAAACCACATGTTCTTTTGCTGTGCTAAGTTTGAACAAATTGTTATCTGTAGTTAGTTCAATTTATTATTTATACATCATAATCGTATAATGTCCATTTACTTAAGCGTCTTTACATTTTTAATATCACTGACTGCTACATATCTTTTTAAGGTAACACATGTATCAACTTTTTCATGCTTGTGTGGTTTTTGTCATATTGTTCTTTTTAGATGAACTGATGATGCTTTCTGATTAAGAAAGCAAAACGTCTTCAATAAATAGATGAAGTAGCCATCATCTTTGTTTTTTTTCTCCACCTTTTGACCGAAAAAAAACCCACCACTCGGCTGAGTGATCCTTAATTTATGTTGGATTGACGGTCGTACTCCTTTTCTCGATATATATATATATATATATATATATATATATATATATATATATATATATATATATATATATATATATATATATACACTCCGCGTCATAGAAAACGGGCCACCCCAAATATTTAAAATATTTTCTAAATTATTATTTATTGCTACAAAATTAAGCATTTATTTTTTCATATATTGAATCAATAACCTGTTTAATATAAAATTTCATTATTATCGTAAAACATCAATTGAAAATAAAAAATTTACGAAAAATAGGAAATTTATTGAAAAAATCAACTTACAGGTTTTTAAAATAACAATGAACTGTATATTAAAAATAAAGCTGGTATCCATTTTCAGTAATGGGTATTACCACCTCGATTCTGGATGACACTCTTCATTTGATTTGGCATGGAATTTATAACATTTTGGATATCTCTTTGGGGAAAAGTGGCCCATTCCTCAATGAGTGCCATCTGGAGCTCTCCAGGTGTTGTTGGAGCAGGTATGCGAGGCTTACCGCGACGTTTTAGCAGGCTCCATATATGCTCAATAGGATTTAAATCGGGGCTTTAAGCAGGCCAGTCTATTTTTTGAATACCAACCTCGTCAAGGTACTCCGTTACTATCCTTGCCGTGTGTGGTCTCGCATTATCCTGCATTAGCAGGAATTCGTTGCCAATAAATCCAGCATAGGGCATCACATGATGTTGTAAGATTCCCGTTATGTACCTTACTGCTGTTAACGCACCTCTGTCGATCACGACGAGATCCGTATGCGCATCAAAAGAAATCCCTGCCCAAAACATTACTGAACCACCACCAAAAGCAACCCGTGGTGACCGAGTGCAACCAGCGAAACGTTCTCCAGCTCGTTTGTACGCCTTACTACGTCCGTCTTTACCTTAAATAGACATTCTACACTCATCCGTAAACAATACTTTTTTCCAATCGTCTGCTGTCCAATTGATGTGCTTACGGGCAAAATCTAGTCTTCTACTTTTGTGAGCTGGGGAAAGTAAGGGTCCCGTTGCTGTACTGCAAGCTGTCAAACCTTGCTCCCTTAATCTTTGCCGAATAGTAGAAAGGCTGATTGCTGGTCTTTGAGCTTGCTGTAAATGTCCTTGAAGCATTCTAGCGGTTTGGGTCCGATTCCGTAATGCAGCAAGAAGGACGACGCGATCTTCCCTAGCGGTTGTTTTCCTTTTTGGACCCGTACCAGGTCGTCGTTGGTGAGATCCTATGACAATAAATCGTTGCTGGGTCCTTTGTACAGTCGAACGACTAACATTCAATTGTCTTGCAACTTGTCTTTGACTTAATCCACTTCCCAGTAACGTTACAATTTCAACCGATTTTCGAAAATTCTCCATCGTTATTAACTGAAGACTACTTCACACTAAGTCGGCTACTGTAATACTGAGATGCGTTTAAAACTCATTAGAACCCTTTACAATATCAAACATTTCTCAAAACAATCACTTCCTCGAAAATTGATCAAGTTGTAACAACTTATTCTCAAAATTGTTTTGTTTTATAGGTTCTACGAATATCCTCAATCCAGTTACAGGGTCGGTTTGCTTTCGCAACAACCCATTTAACTTAAATAACCCAAGACACATTAAAAATAAAATAATGTTAATTCAATATACAATAAATTAAATGCTTCATTTTGTAGCAATAAATAATAATTTCGAAAATATTTTAAATATTTGGGGTGGCCCGTTTTCTATGACGCGGAGTGTATATATATATATATATATATATATATATAGTCGGTCAGATAGCTCAGCGGGCTGTGCGGCTGCCTCTCATTCGCTTCACTGTCGAATGGTTCAGTGGATGTGGGATCGAGCCCCAGCTCGGTGTCCAGAAAACAAAAAGTCTAACGCAGCAGTTTAAAATTCAGGATGAATCTGCGGCTTAGACTAGAATATGCTGGGATCTGATCGGCCTATGGTGGAGCAGTACGGCAAGAGATAAGGGCTTGCGGCTCGGTGATACTCCTCCATAGATCCCTACTGGACGGGCGTAACGCCTAAAAAACCGGATATATATATATATATATATATATATATATATATATATATATATATCACGTCCATATTTTTTTTTATTCTGACCGGCACATATGCCATCCGTACATGCACACTAAAAATTTCCATCTGTGTGGCATTGCAATGTAAAATAAATGAAAGACACAAAAAAACAGACACACTTTCTTCTTCATCTACTTTCTTCCAAGGGCGCTAAATTGTGCCTTGGCGTCCAATTTCTGACGTCCTTTTACATGAATTTCCTTATAGTCTGCTACTTTGTATTTTATCATTTCTTACTGACAGAGTTTCAGTATCCATCCTCACTACATAATCCAATATTGTGGAGTCTAGCGAATTATTGAATAGATGTTTCATTAAATAATTGGTAATGTTCACGATTATATCTAGATCTCCATATCCCGTTTTTCCACTTTACCGTGATAAAATATCAAAGAGGAACATTTAACATACTTTCTAACTTACAACTTACCTTTTAGCTTCTTCTTCTAAAACCAAAAAATCTCTTCTATGTCTAGTATACTCTTTCCAATACCTATCCTCTTCTAGAGTTATTTTCTGTGCAATGGCTTCTTGTTCTTGAATAGCTTTTTTGGTTTCTTCCTCCTCGTGTTCTAGGGCGCTCAACTCGTCCAATAATCTCACTTCTTCGGCTTTTAAATCACTTAATTCTTTTTCTAAATCAGATAGTTTTGGTTCGTCTTTATCACTTTGCAACCTAAAAAATAACACCAAACTTATATTTTACTGGGTTTACATTTTTTTGTTTTATACACACTGAACTATGGGACTGATTTCAGTGAAGAAGTTATAGTCTAGAATCGAGACACTGACAAAGCACCAGTCCGATCTGATGTAATCACCAATGTGGGCCGAAATTAATTAAAATAACAACAAATACACAAAAATGACTTAAGTTGGTTACAAGATTGTTGGTTTTAAGATTTTTTTAGAAATGTCTGAGGACAGTGGAATATTGTAGAATATAATCCAGCTGAAAAATCCATTCTTTTTGATCAACAATAGAAGGATCGCCCAGATAAATCTAAATCTGTTGATTCATTACTGTACGGGTGCCCCTTGTATATTATGAAAACCAGAAACAACGAACATTAACAAAAAATAATGAAATAACCGTAAAAGTTAGTAAAATGTGACCACTACGAAAATATACTATACTTTATTTCACGTTAAGAACGGAATGTTTGGCTTTTAGATATTAGTGTAGCCAAAACTCTCAGGCACGTGTTGCTACTAGACTGCCGATATACGAGGCATTGTAATCAGAGCCGTATTCAGCACTGTGTAGACGTATTGTAACTTAATTTCACTAATAAGCGGATATGTATAGTTGAATACAAAATAATGCATTATAAATACTTGTTTCTTTATTAGACCTATATAGGTATGTAATGCACTTAGATGGTATAGGTAAAAGAGCATATATTGCCTATGAGCAGTGTCGACGAACAGTTGGACGCACCTGGGGCCTTTCGCCCGGGGTGATCGTCTGGGTCTACACTGCTGTCATTAGGCCAATGCTTAAGCCTAAGGCTCAAACTTACGGAGCTATTGCTTGGGTACCAAAAGTGCTACAAGCAACAGCCATAAACAAACTAAACCATATTCAGCGGATGGCTTGCATAAATATATCAGATGCCATGAAAACAACACCAACTGCTGCAATGGAGTTGATCATTGGCATCACGCCTCTAGATACATATGTCAAAGAGGTGGCGCTAATGACAATGATGCGACTGCGCTCAGGCGGTGCAGACATTGATGTAGGAATGGGACAATTGTGAACTCGTTTCTGGCGGGGAGAGCTGGATGCGCTACCACTGCTACAGGCAGGTTGCGATTCAATTGAACCAAAGTTTGTCTTTAACAAACCCTACAAATTCAAAACAAGAGGGTATAGGGAGATAAACGTGGCAAATGCCTATTTCATATACGCCGACAACTCCAAAATGAAAGAAGGCTCAGGATGCGGGATATACTCCAGATCACTGAACCTAAGAATAAAGTGGGGTATGGGCTAAAATGCTAGCGTAGTTCAGACAGAACTGACTGGTCTATCTCCATTCGCTCCGTGGGTCTCCCCTCTATTTACAGTCACGTGACATGCTGTCAGATTTGTGAGGACGTTTCAGTATTGAGTCTTATGGGATTATTTTGTTAAACTTAAATATTTTATTTTGTAGTGTTAATATCCGGATACAATTTTTAGAATTAATTAGTTATCTATTTATAGTGACATTTATAGTTCAACAAAAATATTTTTTGTCGTTAATAAAGATTTATTAACATAATCTACGAAAGTGAGGTTATGTATACATGATCAACCAATGATCAACATCCATGGTACAATGAATATGTTCATTGTACCATGCACAAAAACGTCCTGATAAAATTTCAAGCAATCGCCACCATGAGCAGGTCAGTCGATTTGCTTTGACACTTTGTTAACCCTCAGAGCGAATAGCCGCAAAATAGATAACCCAAAAAGGTATAGCAGGGAAAACTATATAGCAGACAAGCGCTACTAACCTTGAATAGACCACGTGTCTCTTCGGATGGTAATACCATCATTCTGAGGTGGGTTAAAGGACACAATAGGAATAAAGGCAACCGCATTGCTGACAAATTGGCTAGGAAGGCGGCTTTTAGGACCAGGAGATCTTTTTGGTTGATCAACTACAACAATCGTGGAAATTGTCAAATGTCACTCCCATACGTAAACCGTAAAAAGATGGGAAGAAGGGCAAGGATGTAAACTTGCCAGGGAAACACTAGGTAACCTTGAAGAGTCAGCATCAAAGAAGTACTTGGGAATGACCAAGAAAAACCTACACTTGACAGTTGATTGTTAACTGGTCATTGCCAACTAAGCAAACACCTCCACACACTGGGGCTAGCAGACACACCTCTATGTAGAAAGTGTGGACGAGAAGACGAAACTGTAGAGCATGTCCTATGTGAATGCCCGGAGTTATCGTTAATACGAGAGTACGCGTTCGGCGAGTCCTGGCCCACATAAGAAAGATGTCTCCTGGTGACTTGTCCACCTTGGATGCTCCCTGGGAGGATGCACAATGGGTCAATGGTGGCCTAAGTGCTGTGAAACTCAACTCGCCCTCCCTACTCTACAGATACAGAACATGGATTCCCTTAAAAAGGATTTAGCATTATCCTCATCTTCTCTATCATCGCTTTGGACTCAATTTTTCAATAATTGAATTCAACTCACAAAGTTATGGAGGTAGTCTCATAATAGTAACATTTTTTTTGCAGATCTCGTCGATTTTATATTTTATGTATTCTTCTTTGATTGTGATTACGACTTCCATAAGCCCTGATTTTAAATAATCTTTTTAAATAAAGATATCTTTCTCCACAAACCATGTCTTAATTTGATCTTTATTAGACGCTTGTGTCGGAATCACTTCTTCTGTCCTCGAATGGTATGGAGGCGTTGTCCATCACCACAACAGTTTTCTCTGGAAGATTATGAAGCAGATTTTCCTTAAACCATTGTTCAAATATAGGACCATCTATATCATCAAAATGGTCCACTGGGTTTTTTTTAGCTAAAAACCAAAAAGCTGCACATTCCACAAAGCCCAATTCACTAGCCACGTGAACTATAACAAATCGGGAGCTTCGTTGTGTCGGCTGTTTTAGGCCTGTTGACAACTCCTTAACAAACTCATTCCTGGCTGAAGTCAGTGGGAGATCCTTCTATTCTTTGGAAATACTATGCCTGGCATTCACCCAAGTTTCATCCAAATAAACAACGGTGTATCCTTGGGAACGATTTTTTTTATCTCAAGCAAATACTGATGCCTCTATTTCAGAATGTCGGGCCGTTCCATCATGGTCGACTTTACTTCTTGTTTGCAAAAAACAAAGTTCATTTCACGGAGTAGTCTCCACATTGTTGTGCGTGACATGTTCGTTAAATCTTTGTATTTTTTAAACAGTGTAGAAACTTTTTCAATTTCGGCGGTAAAGAATTAAAGAAAAGCTATACACGATGAGCCTGAGCCGCGTATGAACTCCTGCGTCGTAAGTGAACTTTCTGCTATTCACTTTACTTTTGGTACGTTTTCTTGTTTTTTTTACGGGCCCAAGTCCTCCTTACGCAGCTTCTTTGTTTTTTAGAAATAGTACTAGAACCTACTCTCATCATAGCACTTATTTTATCAAATAAATTTCTAACATTTTCACCACTCTTTAAATTTAGATGATAATTAAATACATTTAAAATAATTTGTTTTACACGATTGTCTCTTGGTTTAATTTTTGAATTTAAATTTTGAATGAACAGTAAACTGTGAAGTCAAAATAACTACTAAACAACCACATAGTCATGTTATCATTATGGGTACGAGATACGAAGATAATTAGTTTGTAATGACCACGATTCTAATGGCATGTTGTATTCTCACCGAAAAATAATTAATCTGTCATTAACATAATTAAAATCATTTTTAGTACTTTTCATCTCTTGTGTCCGATGGCACTTCTGGTCAGTTACAATAGAAAACATTCATTTTAATTCATTTCTGTTCCTAACGTGAAACACTCTATAGTAGAAATCTAAATTTAATTAATAAATAGAAATAAAAAATTTAATTAAACAGTTTATAGAATTATTGTAGTTCTGATTACAAAATCAAAAATCTTATCTAGTAAAGGAATCTAAAAACAAACTGGATAAAAAAATATTCTTACATTTTATAATATCTACTGTAATCGTCATAATCCTCTTGTGCAATTTGAAGTTGTTGATCCAAAATTTCGATGAGGTTATCAGTACACTCATCGCACAGAGGATGATCAATATTGGAATTTCCAGAAAGTGTATCAAACAGAGCTGCCTGTACCTAAAAAAGTTTTGTTGATATCGTTATGTTTCTTAATGCTAGAGTTTATTAAGCAAATACACAAACTTAACACTTGAAAATATATTTATTAATAGATAAGTTGATGTCAAAACGATTTACTATTATGATCCCTAAAATATACTCTTTACATTAACTTAACAACCACGCAGGGTTATTAGCGTTTTGTTAGATTAAGTAATTTATATATATATATATATATATATATATATATATATATATATATATATATATATATATATATATATATATATATATATATATATATATATATTTAATATAAAATTAATGTTTCTTGGGTTTAGGTTCAATCAAGATATGTTACATGTGGAACTAGATTTTATTTTCCATTGCAATCAATCAACGTTTCGGCAGGAAACCCTTGCCTTTGTCAAGATTCTAAAATGTGTATATATATAAGGACAAACAGATATTGTAAAATATGTATGTATATATATATATATATATATATATATATATATATATATATATATATATGACTTACCAAAACGTAAAACGTGACACAGACATTAACGAACTGACATATAAAAGTTGATATCTGATATCTCATTGTTTACTGTCATTAGTATATAATTATTTTTATATGGGCGTATCGTTGATGTTTTCAAAAAAGGTAAGGTGGCGATATGTTATGATTTTAAGAGCTTTTTATTATGTTATATTATTATTGTTTAAATCAGATTAAAATATATTTTATTTAGGTTTTGTGTATCTCTTTTGTCATTTATTGCGTTGGTGTTTCTTTTTATTTCTATTGATTCGTATATCTCCCACTTCTTTTTGTTTTTTTCTGTTTTTAAAATTTTGATGTTTTCAAAGTCAAATTTATGCTTCTTCCCGCTTTCATGTTTTGTGGGCGCAGTGACGTTGTTCTTGTCGTATTTGTGAGAACGAATTCTGGATTGCAGCAGTTGACTAGTTTGACCGATATAGACACCTTCACAGTTTGTACATGGTATTTCGTAAACAACATGTGATTTTTTAAGTTTTGGAGTTTGTGTTTTTAGTTTTGTGAAGTATTTATTTAAGAGGTTGTTGCCTTTGTGGGCTACTCTCTATCTATCTATATGTCTCTCTCTCTATATCGGTCAAACTAGTCAACTGCTGCAATACAGAATTCGTTCTCACAAATACGACAAGAACACCGTCACTGCGCTCACAAAACATGAAAGCGGGAAGAAGCATAAATTTGACTTTGAAAACATCAAAATTTTTAAAAACAGAAAAAAACAAAAAGAAGAGGGAGATATACAAATCAATAGAAATAAAAAGAAACACCAACGCAATAAATGACAAAAGAGATACACAAAACCTAAATAAAATATATTTTAATCTGATTTAAACAATAATAATATAACATCATAAAAAGCTCTTAAAGTCATAACATATCGCCACCTTACCTTTTTCGAAAACATCAACGATACGCCCATATAAAAATAATTATATACTAATGACAGTAAACAATGAGATATCAGATATCAACTTTTATATGTCAGTTCGTTAATGTCTTTGTCACGTTTTACGTTTTGGTAAGTCATATATATATATATATATATATATATATATAATATATATATATATATATATATATACATATATATATATATATATATATATATACATATATATATATATATATACATATATATATATATATATATATATATATATATATATATATACACATTTTAGAATCTTGACAACGGCAAGGGTTTCCTGCCGAAACGTTGATTGATTGCAATGGAAAATAAAATCTAGTTCCACATGTAACATATCTTTATTGAACCTAAACCCAAGAAACATTAATTTTATATTAAATATAATACGGTTCAAGAAACTCAAAACTACTATATATATATATATATATATATATATATATATATATATATATGATGGTGGTATTCTTGACTGTTGATTTTAAATATAAATTATGATTTTTGAGGATGCAGTCAGTTTATTTGGCCCACAAGACAAAGAAAACTCTTTGACTTACTGTCAAGCTTTCGAATTTTATTTAATTCTTTTTCAAGGCATCTATAAAAAGAAATATAAATTAACTAGTTAAAATTGTTAATTGTCTTACTTACTAGTCGTGAGATTACAGTTGTTACTATTATTATACTTTACAAAACAAACCATTATAAATATATTAAAAAAATTTTTTTATTAAAAATAACTATATTGTCACTATATATGTCATTGTCATGGTTTGATTAATGGACATATATGAATGAAAATACAGTTACTTTATGTGGAAAGCAAAACCAGTAACAATAGTTTTTATTATAATTTATTTAATTGTCTATAAAAAAATATAAATTAATCCAGTCAGCAGTTTGGCTTAAGCACATATGAATTTTTAATGTTAGGATGTCAATAGAAAATGATTTATATTAAAATTTATATTAAAATTAAAATTAATTTATATTTCTTTTTATAGATGTCTTGAAAAAGAATTAAATAAAATTCGAAAGCTTGACAGTAAGTCAAAGAGTTTTCTTTGTCTTGTGGGCCAAATAAACTGACTGCATCCTCAAAAATCATAATTTATATATACTTCATCTAATTTAGATAACGACTTACGTCATTACTGCGTCAGAGATCGAAGTTGACATAGTTGCCAAAGTATAAAAAAATCCTGACTCCATTTTAAATCAATGTATTACATAATTATTGCAAAAGTATTACCATCTCTTTACAACGACTATTTAAAGTCTTACGTGACATTTTTGAAATAAAACACACTAATTTTGTTCTAAAAAGAACAGATTTTATTAAATAGTTAAAAATATAAAACAAGAGATATTCACTTTAAAATTCAAAAAATTGAAGTACAAAAAGTGTCAACACCGCAACTGTCAAATAAGTGTTACCAATTTATGCCAAAATTTTACCTTTGTTCGATTACAGTTACAGTGTGTTCCGAACAAAATGTTCTTGATAAAAACGCTTTATAATGCATTTATACAAATTAAATGAAACATATTATTGTGTATTTTTTTGAGGTTAACAATAATAGAAATTTTTAAATATTATTTCTATGCGTATATAATAAAATATGTCTAGTGGTTGTAATGCCATTGTACTCGGTAAAGTGATTCTAAAAAAGAACACACCTACACCCTAAATATTTTGTGTTGGTATCATGTGACGTCACAGGCTATGACGCCGATGACGTGCATCGTTATATAAATTAGATGAAGTGTATATATATATATATATATATATATATATATATATATACACTAAAAGCCAAATAAAGTTGCGTGCACGTCACCAATGTCGTAATTCTATTGTATGTGTGGCTACATTTCTATAGCAAAGTGTATGTTACTTTAGTTTGCTAAACAATCACTTTTAAAAATAACCCGATCAATAAAAAAACTTTTGTAACAACATATTGTATATACCGCTATGTATATATAGCTTTTTTGGATTTAGACGTCCGTGATTGTAAAATTTTGTATTGAAATGTTCATGAAGAAACCACCAATTATGGACGGAGTATTAGTCACTACCAGAAATATTGTCATGTTGCCGCGTCGTTTGTTGATTTTTCATTTTCATTCAGTGGTCTGTGACTTTTGTACTCGTGGTATCGTCGATTTTTGAGGTTAACTTGTGAAAAACATTTATTTACTTGTCAAAATGCCCAAACAGCTCAATAGTCGATGCAAAGAACTTGTGGCTGCATTAGTTAACTATTTTGAAGAAGAAAGGATTAATAATGGCTCTTTGTTACCCTTAAACGCTGTACAAGAGGTGATATGCGAATAAAATATCATTACTTTACTTTACAAAAATTTGTATGATTTTAGCGTGTAGCTGCTGCTTTAAAAATCAGCGTAAGAACAGTAAACAGCATATGTGCATATGTCAAATGCAGAAAAAAGGTGAACAATTCGAGTCACCAAAGAAAAAGCGTTGCACTAATAAACGAGTAACTTATTGTTTGGTAACTCAGTAATAACTTTACCACTTTTATTGTGAAATTACTTACTTTGTGAAATCTATTCATGAATATAATTAACAAAAAAATTTATTAAATAAAAAAACACTCATTTTTAAATTCAACTTAATATTGTTACGAAAGATTTATCCCACATAGGAAAAGTCCATTGACGAAAAAGAAGAAATAGTTCGAGAACATTCAAGATGACATCGAAAATTCTTGAAATGTCTAGTGAAGTTTGGAACGTCAGAACATATGTATATAACAGATGTTTTTGACAGTTGGGGAACAGATGTATTTTGAATGTAGAAGTTTATAGTTGTCAGTTAGTTAAAAGTATTGTTATATTGTTGGTGTTGAATAAAGCTAAGTTTTAAGAAGTGTAACAATATAGTGTGAAATTTGCTATCTTCACCTTTTTTGTTTATTTAAGTTCTTTTCTGTTAATTTTCATACTTCATAAACCATCTGACAACGCTGCAAATGTTCACAATGATGACGTGAACGCAACTTTATTTGGCTTTTACTGTATATATTGTATATATATATATATATATATATATATATATATATATATATATATAATATAATGTTATATATAATTATTATATATAATTATATAATAATTATATATAACATTATATAATTATGTTATATAAAATAAATTATATAAAAATATTATTGTTATTCCCAAAAACCTCCTAGCGAACATAAAACAGCTGGGTCTAAATGAACATCTTTATAAGGCCATGCAAAAAGCTGTACTCCTCGCGACCTCCAGATGTGTACGAAAATTTCTGGGAGATACTCCGACATACCAAGTCACCTAGTAACACGGAAAGAGTCCCACCAGAGCTCAATCCTTTTGATACCGTAGGTATCTGGGATGAGTGAATTTTCCCCTTAGAGGGAGTGTGAGCCGTATGGCTAAATCTGGGATAATTATTAATAATATAATGTTATTTTAAAGTAATTTTCCATACCAATATTTAATATGTAAATTTAGAATTTATGAAACAATTAAGTCTCTAAGATAGCAAACAATTTTGGTTATTCGTGTTTTCTTCTAAGGCAGTGATTCCCAAGCAGGGGGCGATTTGAGATATTCAGGGGGGAGATAGAGCGAAGGGGGCGTTAACATCTGGAAAACAAGAAATGGCTAATTGAGAAAAATAAGAAAAAAAAAATACAATACTTTCGATCGGATATCCATAGGATAATTAACACAAACATCTCGTCTAGTCACAGAGAGCTATGAATCATAATACAATTTAATTCTATACATTATCGTTATAATTATACATTATAACGAATTCTGCATTTTCCTTTGATCGAGCTTTCATATTGTGAGATCATCCGCACAAAAGAGAAAGAAAGAGAAGTAGGATAAGAATGATGAGAAGTAGGTACCGTTCCTGACAAGCTGATACCTAGAAATTATCACCAATCGTCCCGGTACAGGAGCGCATGCGCGCCAAGTGTGTAATTTTAAATTAAATCTTGACCGTTTGTCATTCAAGTATCATCAAATTTTTTTGTTTGGACATAATGGATTGTGTATAGTCATGTCAGTATGGGTAGGTTTATGAAATACAGAGAACTCATGTTTGTTTTTAAGTATTACAATTTTTAAATCTAAAAAATTTATGGATTGATTTTGTTCTGTTTCTATAGTCTATTACAATATAACACATACCAAAAATAGATCACTTGAAAAAGCTCTCTGCCAAAACAGCTGTAGTGATAAGATTTTATAATAAATTTTGTGGAAGTTTTGAAAACAAAGATTTCAGTATTTTATTGTTATATAAAATCAATTTCTATCAAGTAACAGTCAAATCTATCACTTGAATAATAATTTCTTTATATTTTTTTCTTTAACTGCATGTCAGTATTAATTTTTGTTTTTAATCTGAAAAGTTCAGGGTAAAAGTATTCAAGGCTTGTAGGTATTTTTGGTGATGATAAACACTATTTTACTCATGATTTTCTTTTCTTATCATTTAGATAAGATTAGCTGCATTTAAGCAAGTTTATTGAGAGACTCATAGAACAAAGAACTTTAATGGCTGGTATCAGATTAATTTTAAATGAATTTAAATTTAAATCAGCACTAATAATACAAAAAGAACCAGCACCAAGCTTAGGCAACAACTACACTAATTAGAATAATTTTTCGTGAATATCTGGATACCTTGTTGGATCTCTATATTCCTCTAAAAACCAATGATGAAATAGAGAATATTCTGGAACATTTTACAAGATAGATGCAGAAAGCAATATGGGACACAACTCCAAGCCAAGTCTCAACTAACACACCTCAAGAACAGGCTTCAATAATTAAATAAAAAATAGCAGAGAAATGGAAAACAAAGAAAATACTGACTATGATTTATGGAAAGCAGTAAAAAAGTTAAAAAGCAACCCTCCTGTATGTAGTCCAGCTCAGATGGTCAATGGGCAAAAAGTAATGAGGTCAAAGCCAATGTTTTTGCCTAGCACTTAAAAAAGTCTACCAACCATAATATCCCTCTGAAAATATCTTCAACATTGAAGACAAAGTGAAAGAATTTCTGTAAACCCCATATCAACTAGAATTACCTATTCAAAATTTTACTGCTAACCAAGTCACAAGATCCATACATATGTTGAATCCAAAAAAAATCTGCAGGATACAATTTAATTAATGCTAAAATTCTGAAAGAACTTTCATACAAGGAACTGAGGTATTTGACCCACATATACAATGCTGTTTTAAGAACATGATACTTTTCTCTTTTGTGGAAGGTAGCCCAAATAATACTTATCGCTAAGACAGGAAAACCTGCTGTGCAAACAACATCCTGCAGGCCAATTGGCCTACTCCCTGCACTGGAATAAGTTCCTTGAAAAATTACTAGTAGAGAAAATAGAACCAATTCTAAAAGCAGATCAATTAATTCCTAACCATCAATTTGGATGTATAGCGAACCATGCCCCCATCAAACAAGTCCACTGAGTTATAAAAAATTGATATAAAACATTTGAAGATCAAGAATACTGCTCTACTGCCTTTTTAGACATCGCCCAAGCTTTCGACAAAGTTTAGCATGATGAACTATTGTACAAAATCAGAAAAAACTCACTAAACTACATTTTTCGTAACCTCAACATTTTCAAGTAAGGTATTAGAACAAAACCACAACTCTATACCCAATAAGATCCTGAATATTATCTACACAGATCTTCCCACTAGTAAAAATATAACCATTTCAACATATGCAGATGATACTGCTGTTATGTCATCTCACAAAGATCCTATCATTGCTTCTCAAATCTTGCAGAGTCACGTGGATGTGATTTCCTATTGGTTAAAACCTGATGAAAACATTATCTGCTAAAAAATGAATACCAGGACAGATAAGTACAAAAGTTTATTTAAAATTACTGTTCTGGAACTAAAAACACCTTCTTTAATGAAGCAAGAATTATGGCTAAACAGTGTAAGTTTTTATCATTTTCTGCAAATGAGAGAAATTAAGATTGTAAATATTTCGGATTATTTATCTTTTTATGCTTCTTTAAGCCATACACATTTTTCTCTATATTTACTAAGTAATACATTTTTAAAATTGAAATACTTTGATTAATTGATTAATTGAAAATCTTTTAAAAGGAAATGGAAAATCAACAATTTGAAAGTAAAAATAGTTTGTAGGAATATTGCTTCTAATTCATATACTGTGTAAACATAAAAAACAAATTGAGAGCTGAACAAAATGGCACAATATAAAAACTATTTATTTCCTACTGATGTATTTAGAAATAAATTATTTATCATTTTGGGAATTATATAATATCTGTAAAGTTTTAAATTATTATGATGTATGTTTGAACTTACCTTGAATTGGTGACTGAGCAAATCTACCTCATTTTCATCAGATATTAGCATAAAGCCATTGGCTCCATTACCAGAGTCTGATAACCTACATGGAGGTACATAATGATCAAAACTGGTAGCCTGGGATTCCAAATCAACTTCAGGGTTGGAATATATGGGCACTACGAATATAAATGCTGTTTTTAAGGGTACAAACAAAGGACATACAACTTACAATTTAATTCTGCTGAGGTATGTTCACTAAAAGAGTTCAGTGATTCATCTAATCTTAATGATTGAGAACATCTTTGGCATGCAAAAGACACAAATAATTTATCTTCTGCCATTTCATTTCATTAGTTCATTTCATATTGTTATTTCCGTTTCTAATCCAAACAATTCTTCACATTTTGACAATGATTTAAGTTTGACATCATCTGTGTTTGTCAACTCTATCTGTGATTGTGATGTTAAACATATGTTACTTACGTCATACTTTATTCGTTTAACTTTTTATTTTTCCAAAATTTTTGCAAAACAGAATATTTAGCCGTTGAAGTTTGGTTCTAATTAATTAGTATTTAAAAGGATATGATAGTTTTATAATAATAAATAATAAAACATTATAAACGATATACTTTAGAGCACATTTCTGAAATTTGCTGTCCAAATTTTAACCATTTAGAAAGTTATTATATCACACTTACAATAGAAATTTTTTAATTTCTAATGTAATTAGACCACCACCTAGGTTTGGAGGGCACACACCCTCCAAACCTAGGTGGTGGTCTAATAACCTTTGGAACCAAAACCGTAGGTTCCATCTATATAAGTAGTCATTAAATCTAAAACCTGGGCCAAAAGGTTATACGAATCGAATATGTAAAATAAACGAATTGGCACGGTACGACCGAATTGTAACAACAAACGGATTCCGAAAAGTAAGGCATTCACCTCCGCCTATGATCATGATCTTTCAAGTCTGTCACAATCACTTCACAGCTGTAATGGTGTGAAGTAAGTGCCTAAAATGTAAAATTGGAAGGAAGGACGAAATTTGGGGTTATGTTTGAATTTTGACACCTTACATAATTTCGAAAATGTCGCAAACTAAGGAAATAAAGACTTACAGTTATTTCGATACCCCAGATGGCCATGACGTTTTAGAGAAATTTTGGTGCGTTATGAAACCAGCTTCATTAACTGCCTTTGGTATTGGAACAATTGATGTAGTTGCCTGGTCCCATCCAAAAGGATACCTACCAACTCTGGGTAGATATGCATATATGGGATTCCCTATTGTAGGAGCAAGTGCAGCTTTTGTGCTAGTTACAAATGCTTCTGCAAGTTTACGCAAAAAGGACGATAACTGGAATTGGTTTATTGGTGGTTTTTCAGCAGGTAATTTCTAAATTTTTTATGAATATGAATTTCAAAAAGAAATAGGTCTCCTATTTTTTTTAATCCTACACTGCCCAATTTAAAATATATGACACATACTACGAATTTACACATTTAACACAGTGAAATAAAATTAAATCCAAACAGCACTATGTAACATATTCGATAATATACACCATTCTATTATATATACACATTTTCTAACGTGGCAATGTTGTCTAATATTTTATAAAACATTCGAATTAGTCAGTTGGTGCTTAACTGTGGTGTTGACGATAATGCTGAGTTTATCAAAGTGATAAAGGTCGTAGGTATTATTAATGAAAATTGAGTGTGTAAAATTGTGTTTTCTAATTATTACATATCCACAAGTCATCTATTAGTATTAGTTTTATAGAGGATATATTATTTTAAAAAGGTATAGTAAATAATTTGTTTGTATAATTTATGATACATAATGTACTTTTGATATTATTTTAGATATATAACTGGGATATGAAGAGGCCTCTATCAAATAAAGAACTGCAAGATATAGTCAACAATCGGAATGATGGTAAAGATGATTGTGATGTGATATTAAAGACTTGAATAATGATGTAGATTTATAAAATATGGGCAGAACTGGAAGATACAGCAGAAAATAACTGAGAACAAATTTGGAAAATCAAAGATATAAGAAATGAATTAGATGAAAACATCAGTAAATTTATTAGAATACTATATTCCACTCATCCATTTGCCTAATGTATGTTGCTACTAGTCTAAAAATATTGGGGCAATCCAAATTAAAGAAACAATGAGCCAATGTGCTTAAGATCTTGTCAGAAAAGTAATTCATTTTACAGATAATTTAAAAATGAAACCTAAGGATGATCCACAAGCAGATTGTCTTTATACATTGAGAAATATGTAGAACATTTAAATATAAAAGTATATGTCATGAACAATATTTATGTGTAGATGAACAACTAAGACCATGAATTATTTACAACAATACTTGTCTCTTAAACCACCAAAATGGGGATTTAAACTGTTTCTGTAAGTGTCTTTTCTTATCAGTTTGAAATTTACACTGGGTGGTTGGATTATGTCAAACTATTAATAATAGTAAATTCTTCATGGTTTACTTTGATAACTACTATTCACCAGTTCCTTTAGGGGTATATTTAGCTAACCAAGGCATTTATCCACTGGGTACTATTAGAAGGAATATGATTCCAAATTGCCTTCAGATAATGAGATAAAGAAGCAAGAAACAGGCACATCCTATGAGTATGTACTGTGGTTGTTGATATATCTACCATTATTTGGAAAGATAACAAAGCTGTTACACTTATATTAAAAAGAAAATCAAGATATCATGTCTACATCTGGTCAGATAACAAAGATAACAAAGCTGTTACACTTATATTAAAAAGAAAATCAAGATATCATGTCTACATCTGGTCAAAGAATACAACAGACAAATGGTTGGAGTAGACCTATTAAGACAGTCTCATCAGCATGTATAAAATTAAACTCAATACAAAAAAATGGTTCTTACGAAATTTTTTCCATCTTGTAGTTCTCACACTTGTAAATAGTTGAAGTCTTTTTAAAAGAGTATGCAAAGAAAATGGAACAAGTCAATGACAGTGGTAAATTTTAGAATTCACATAGGTGACTGCCTGTGTAGAGCATGTCTCATCAGCATGTATAAAATTAAACTCCATACAAAAAAATGGTTCTTACGAAATTTTTTCCATCTTGTAGTTCTCACACTTGTAAATAGTTGAAGTCTTTTTAAAAAAAGTACGCAAAGAAAATGGAACAAGTCAATGACAGTGGTAAATTTTAGAATTCACATAGGTGACTGCCTGTGTAGAGCACATATGCAAAATTTATCAAACAAGCTAGGAAGACCATCTATAAGTTCGATTGAACAGCATATACAATTGAAGAAACAGAAAGGGACCCACAAGTTTATTCCTCCAAAAGATATTCAAACAGATGCTGTAGGACATTGGCCAATCCACACTAGCAATCAAACCTGTAAAAACTTAACCTACATTAAATGTGGTTTACACTTATGTTTTAATAGGATTCAAATTGTTTCTTTGACTTTCATCAACCAAAATATTATATTATATATATATATATATATATATATATATATATATATATATATATATATATATATATATATATATATATATAATTTTGTCCAAATGCACTTTGTATCAAATTTAATACATTACCAAAAATGTCCTGAAATTAAAAAAAAAAAATAATTATATTTTTCTAGAAAAGCAGTCCCTACATCTCTGTTTAAGAGTCTGGAGTTATCGAACATAATATGTGACCTTCCCATTAGTCATTTAGGTCAATAAATCTAACAAATTAAAAAAAGTTCACACTTGTATTGGGAAATAATTGTATTTATGGTTTATTGGATTATTTATAGGGATTTTTCAAGACATAATATGTCTGTTATAATTCTGTAAACAGCAATAATAAATATATTTAAAATGAAATTTTGTTTTTCAGTTTTTTCAAATTCAAGAGAAGCCCAGCTGTCTTGATAATATATTATCCATTAACCTTGTTGTTTATTTTAACATGTTTATTTATTTTCATATTTTCCTTGCATTAATGATTTTTAAATTGAAACTGTGTCTTGTTTGGATGTTTTTTATTTTATGTAATACATGGGATAACCCGATTAACAGTTCACATTACAATATATAATATGACAGTTCAAAACTTGAAATTGTTGATATGAATAGTTATAAAAGATTTCTAATTCATTTAGCTAATTGATTCATCATCATCAAGGTGCTAAAACCCTTTTGGAGCATTGGTATTCTCAGCAATGTCTACTTGCTACTTAACTAAATAATTAACAAATGATAAACTGTTCGGGCTGTTAGGCTTGTATTGGCTGTTAGTAGAGATGCCACTTTGGAATAGGATCTGCACTTTTCGAAACAGGTTTTTATTTGGAACAGATATTGATCAATAAGTTTTCCTGTTCCAATGTAACAGTTTTTTGTCACACAACAGACCAGTGTATTTACAACTACTATCAATAAGAGAAAGAGATCGGTGTTGCATTGCTGTGCTGTTATAATATGGTTGTTGCAGTTCCAGTGGAGCGGAAAGTATGTGCATGCGCATAAAGCATGAATGTAAACTTGCTGGCTTGTGCGGCGTTGTCAATATTAAATATTTTTTAGAAAATATAGTAAAAAATCTAAAATAAATATTAGAAATATATTTTTATAACACAAAATATAATAAAACTAAAACAAAATATAATGTAATCATTCTTTGGCAACAATAAAATCTACATCCATATTGATATATATTATTATTATTGCAGATTTATTAATAAGAAAATAATTAAAGTCAATAGGTAAATTCATATCATCTAACAAAAAATTAAGTATACAATTTGTTTAACCATAAAACTATTATGTGGATATGTACTATAGTTATCAAAAAGGAACACAAAACTAGTAGGCAATAACTTAAATTTTTCCTTGATTAATTAAATTAATTCAGAAAACCTAAAAAAAAATTGTTAACATTTATAAACAACAAATATTTTAATTTTTTTACACCAAGTCTTGTTCGACATTCATTTAAAAGAATTCCTGCCTTAGAAAATAACCTTTCACAAGGCACAGAGGTAGCTAACGCACAACATCTAGCGCGTACCAAACGACTTAAATACGGGTAATTCTGTTAATTTTCTCTCCACCAGTCTAAAGGATTTTTACTCCAACTTACGACTTCATCTTTCAAATAACTTTGAAATTCAATTATAGCCCTCGGATTTTAAGAAACTTTGGGTTTAAATTGGGAAACATTTTTATCTAAGGAATCGCACAAACAATATTTTGCTTTATTTTGTTCGGTTTCTGCCAATAGTAAAACGGGAGTTGATGATGTGCTAGGTATAGGCTCAGGTTCATGATCATGACGTTCACATTGTGCGTTAATAATTTTCGAAAGGGCAGTTATGATTACTTTTTTAACTTTTTCGACGACATCGCTGTTCCTAAACCCAAAATATTTAAATCTAGGATCCAGTAAGGTGCAAATGGCTAGCGTATGACTATATTCCACATTACCCAACCTGGACCGAAGACCTTTCCGTAAATAGTTTAAAACGTCTTTGGATTGTTCATTAAAATTTTCCATTGACAAATTATCACAGACATTAAGAAGTCCTCTAGTTAATACAATCACCAGCGAGGCTGACATGTAATTTTCACCACTCACACAATTCGTTGCACCAGCAAACGGCTCCAGAATTTGACACAGTTCTTTGAGTATAGTCCACTCCTCTCCTGAAATTGTAGGCAATGAATCGTCTAGGAGATCTAACGTGGAACGAAGACTTTTTTCCAATTGAACAAATCTTTCTACCATATGATAAGTTGAGTTCCATCTTGTCGGGACATCTTGGATAACCTTTAATGGTATATTCACTCCATTTTTTATTTGTATATCGAAAAGCGTTTTGATAGCTTTATTACTTCGTTTGAAATGCGCTACTATCGTCTTCACTTTTATTAAGATACCCTGAGCTAATTTCAAAGCATCCTGCACTGTTCAGTTAAGGGTGTGAGCAAGACATCCAAAATGTTCCCATCCTGTATTGGCAATTGCCTTTTTAATATTAACAGCATTGTCGGATATTGCAAGAATAACTTTTTTCTGTAACCCCCACCTATTTGCAACATCGATTAAAGTTTTTGATAAATTGGTTCCCGTATGGCTATCTTTAAACAAGTCGCACTCCAAGAGAATATTGCGCATTTGAAATTTATCGTCAATAAAATGGCCCGTGATTGCTATGAAACTTTAGTAATCTGTAGTAATGCAAGCATTTAAAATATTTTGTGCGGCCTCTTTAGTTCTATTTAAACACCTTTCATATAAAGCTGGAATTAGAGTTTTAGAAATCGTTTGCCTATTTGGAAGTCTATATGAAGGATATAAAGATTGTACAAATGTTTTAAAGCCCACATCCTCCACAATACAAAATTTCTGAAAATCCATAGTAAATAATAATAAATTCGAATCGATGGACTTTTTTGTTTCAGAAGATAATTTTTTGTTTGAAAAATATGTGATTCTTGTATCATAATTCTACGTTTTTTTATTACGGGCTGTTCAGGTATGTCTCTGGTTGCGGTGGATATATACAACTAGCACTTGACTGCTCTGAATCGCAGCTAGATTTCCAATGTCACTACTTACACGCATAACAGATTTTTGTGGAATGTTCACTGTTGGATGCTTTCTTTCAATATGTTTTTTAAGTTTGTTATTGATGATTTATAAGACATTTGTAACTGACACATATTACACTTCGCAATTGTGTTGTCAACTATGGTAAAAAAGTTCCAAACTGGGCTACTTTTATTGTGCCTTGATACACTTTTCAATAAAGAATTCAAACTCACCATAAAAGAATATTTTACTTGTTGTTGAAAAACCCCTGTTCTAACCATCCCTAGCTGTTATAGCCAATCTCAGAAGACAACGGCCTAACAGCCTGAACAAACAGTTTAACAAGTTAAATAATTAACCTTTTAAAACATCACATTTTCACTGTAAGTTTATTTTGACTTAAACCTGCAATTTTTTTAGGATCTGTTTTGGGAGCCTGGAAGAGACATGCCATGATTGGATTTAATTGTGGAATGTTTTTCGGCATACTTGCTGTATGCAGAAAAATAATGGCAGATAACAACTGGGAGGTTACACCAAGTGTGACTCCTGTAGCTACCCAAAATGCTTGGAATTATGATTTTACATTAACTAAAGAAAGGCCAGGTAACTGGACTACTGGCAGAGATTGATATGTTTTATAAATAATGTATATTTTAAATGATAGTCTTTAATACAATAAAAAATACTTAAAATTACTCTAGAACATATTTATTTCAAAATTGTATAAACCTAATATGATTTATGTTCCATTTATTTTTATTCCACATCACACTTTCATTTTGTAGTTGATACAATTGTCTATAAATGCAGATATTTTGATCAATGATGGAATATTTTCATAACACATTGTCTCTGATAAACACATTCATAGCAATGTCATGTAAAAGAAGTTATTGTTGCTATAGTGCTTACCATAGAAGTTCTTTGCCATTGCACACAAGAATTGGAGCTGTATCGATAGACTCAAGGAAATATGTTGTTAAAATATCTTTGTTTGCATGGCAATAAAAATAAATTTTTTCGATAATTGAAACCATATGATCAATGAGCAAGGTATGGATCAGCAAACCAGACTGCTGTTGATACTGATTTTCATAAACTATTAAGCTCACTTAGGGTTGAATGGCTATCTAAATAAGTAAAACAGCCATATTTAGAGCGAAGATCATCCTAAATAGTCTAGTCGTCAGAGAGTTGATTCCTAAAAATTATATGCACAAGCTGAATTTTGCCAGGAATATTAATTTTGGGACCCCAAAAAAGTTTACCACTTTTACCCCCGGGCTTCCTCCTAAGACCCCGCTTGTAAGGGTTGAAACACATGAAAACTGAACTCTTTACCTTTAAAACTCATATTGATTTTTGTCGATGGGACACTTAAATCAAAAGATATGGAATTTTAACTGTTGAGCTAATACAAATTTTAAGCCACCATTACATTTACAAAAACTTAGTTGTTTTAATACACTGTACTGCCTCCTTTGACTGCATTGTCAGCACTAACAGTGTGTTAAAATCTATATTTGTTGGTTAAACCTTATATCTAAAATAACATTTTGGTGAAATTTCTCAAACAACACATTAATATAGTTGAAATCTAGGACTGTCTGCATTCTGTTAAAATGTCTTCCATTCTCTCCATTTTATAATCCTTTGGTAATAATACCAGAGAAATACAGTCTTTGAGAACATTGTGTATTCAATATATGTAAAAAAAACACATTGAACAATAAATAAATTTATTTAATTACTTCACAAATCAAACATATTATTTGGTTTTGATGCTGGCTTTTTTATTTTTCACATTTGGAGGAATATAAATACCATGTCCTGTCTTCTTCAGATGGTCAAATAATTTGTTCTTTGATGGAAAAGCTGATTTACAAGTCACACAACTATGGTTTATATCCAAATCTGGTATTTCCTTTTTAATCATATCTTTTGCAGTTTTTCTTTCTTTTTTACTTTTTGGCACAGGCTTTTCTTCTCTATGGTTTTCTTGTAATTCTTCACTTTCAATCTTAACAGCCTCATTTGTTTTATTTTTTGTGTTCTTTTTGGTCTTCTTTTTCTGTTTTTTTGTTGATGAATCAAAGTCAAAATCATCAGAAGATACTTCAAAATTTAAACCATTGGAACATTCTTCTTCATGATGGTTTATAACATTGCTCTTTTTCTTCTTCTTTTTATTTTTGTTACTTTCCTCTATAGACTCTGAATCTGACTTAGTTTCATCAGATTCTATGTGTACATCATCTAATTCCTCATTTGTTGGCATACATTGATTATCTTTTAAATTATTTTCATCTTCTTGGTTTTCATTATCTGATATTTCTTCACCACTTTCTAATATTTCTTCCTCTTCTAGCATTGTCTCCTTTAGAATTTCAACATTTTCTTTATGCTTTTTACTACTTTCATGGTTTTCAAAAGCCTTTGGAGTTTTAAACAACTTTGAACACGCTACACAATACAAATCTAATTCATCTTCTTCATCAGAATCACAAACATCACCAAATTGTTCTGCTAAGTTTCTTTCAATTTGTTCCAATTCCGTTTTAACATTATCAAATTTAGTCCATTCAGCTTGACTAGAAACTTTGGCTTTTTCCAACTCTTCTCGCCTTTCTAATCTCTTCTGTTTACTTAACGATTCTCGTTTTTTCTTATCTTCTAGTAGCTTTTGTTCTTGTAACTTCTTTTGAGCTTGTACTCTCTTGTCTCTTTTTTTCACAAAAGCTGCTAAATTTCTAACTTCCTCACTTCTTTCTTTTTTTGCTTTTTGTCTTATTTTTTTGTTTTCCTTTTCTACCATTTTAAGATACCTTCTGTCTCTAATATCTTTGATATCATAAGGATCTAGCCAAACAAAAGATTTTTTTGTTGCATAATTAAGCCAATAAGCATAAAATTCTGAAACTACCTCAAAGTCACTTGTAGAATTTCCAAAACTTGGGACACTACAAAACTCTTCTTTGTCTTCCATAAAATCCATTTCTTCTTTTGATATCTTCTCAAAAACATTTCTATATATCGTGTAAAAACCATTTTCGTCATCTCCATATCCATTAAAGCAAGTAGTTGTAAAATACTGAAACACATCCAAGGAGTTGTCTTGAAAATCAGAGCTTGAACCCCTAAGTATCTGCTCACGGTGATTGTCATACCAGGCTCTTTCTTGTCTGTCACTCAATACATCATAGGCTTGTTGAACTATCTGAAACTGTTCTTTAGCTAAATCTGCATTATCCAAATTTTTGTCGGGATGCCATTTTAGAGCCAACTTTCTGTAGGCTGTTTTAATTTCACTGTCGTCGGCATCTCTGGATACACTTAAAACTTCATAATGACACTTCATTATTGTTGCTTATAACGAATTTTTAATATATAAAGCTGCAAAAACAATACTTTTTAAATGAAGAATGAATTATACGTATATTTCATTATTTTATAAAGCCGCATGTATTCTTGCATAAAATTGTGACATATTGAAGAAAAATACTTCCCGACCTGAATGTGACGGACGTGACATGTGTCATGTCATGTGTCATTAGTGTGGTGAAACAGTTTGAAGTGAGCTACGAGCTATTTACCCAAATAATGATTCTACTATACAATGTTTTCTAAAAAACAAAGATTGTAGCAAATTCTGCTAAAATCACAACTTAGGACGATTTTCACATTTGGTCCCATTGAAGTTAGCCTCAAATTAGCTGTCAATTAAGTTTCACAGAACGAAATATTGCATTGGCAGTGTTGCCAAGTTATTATAATGTATATGTTATATGCTTCAAATACAAAGAGATAAAGCTTTTAAAAGGTACATTTTTATCATATTATTTTATGGATTCTGCAATTTTATACCTTATATAAAATATTAATGACGTAATATTTGTTTTGTTTGATATTAGTTGCAACAAATTATCAGAAAATTTTTTTGGCAATTGCCCTTTGGTAGGTTAGCGGATAGATTTGGCAATAGAGTCAGAACCCTCAAACCACCAGCTGCCAGATTGCAACAAATGCCTTTTAAATTTTATTATTTATACTGACATTTTACTATTTACTGTTAAAAACTGTTTTAAAACTATTTGCTTTTTCTTGTTTTCGTAATCGTTAAATATTAGTTTTTAAATATCTTATTGCTTTTAATTGCGTATGTTTCGTTTGTAATGTAAATTTCAACACTGCGAAACACCAATATTTCATTCTGTCAAACCCATTTGAAGCTATCTTCAATGGGACCAAATGTGAAAATTGTCCCACAACTTAACTTTACAATAACTTATTTCTAAAGAATTTTCAGTATCCACCGAAATAAAAACTGTGTTGGTGGCAACATTGTAATTCACACCAAACCTAAAGCGGCTTCCCACGATCGGCGATATTGCAGACGGACGCGGACCATCCCGCACTCACCAGGTTTCTTAATTTTAATATTTCATTATACATTTTCATGGATCTTCTACTTCTGAGCAATAGTTACATACTAATTTCAATTTGTGATGATCCTGAAGAGTAAGATCCCAGAAATGCTAGAGTTTACGGTTTATTATCTACAGGTGACCTTCCTTTAACTTTAACCCAGTATGTGTTTTATTTTGTTGGTGGTGGATATTATAAAAATAACTATTCTGGAGAACTTTATTTTCTTTATTTTTAATCATATAACTTACATTACGGGCTCTAACTAGCGGCCATCATTGTTCTCTGTCAGCTGTCAGCTTAAGCTGTCTACACACTAAAGTTCATGATCTTAAGCTGCATACAGACTAACACAAACAGTAATGTCTAAAATACAACTTAGATTCTACTCTAAACATAAAACTTAATTCCTAAATATACAACACGCTTTTTCTTTTTTTTTTTTTAACAAAAACATTAATACAAGAAAAAGTCCTTAAGATAATTTGGTTTTTTAGTTTTACGTCTGTCAGAAGGGTATTCGTTTATTTCACTATTTTTATCAGTTTCTGAGTCACTCTCAAACACCAGCTCTATGTTACTCTCAGTTACCTGATGTATGTTACCTGAGATGGACGGCTGTTCCTCATTATTACCAACAGGATTGTCACAGCAATTAGCATTATCTTTGGAGTCCTCATTCTGTGCTGTTTCAGTTGAGGTATTTTGTGTTTCTATGACTGTGTTTTCTAATTCATCAGCAGATTCCATCTCAGATGACATATTTACAGTCTCATTATTTTCAACATGGCACATCAAACTAGAACTAGGAGCATCATCATATAAAGAATATCCTACTGATTGGGTTAATTCTTTAATGATAGTTGAAAAACCTAATGGTAAACTACGACTGTGCTTGGATCCTAAACCTTTAAATCTTTACATTTGTAGGGAAATCTATAGTATTCCAAAATGTGACCAGCTTCTTAGCCAGCTGGATGGTAAAACTACATTTTCAGTAATTGATATGAAGGATGGATTTTGGCAGCTACAATTAAGTAAAAAAAGTTCTGATTTGTGCACCTTCAATACACCATTTGGTAGGTACAAGTTTAACAGGGTTCCGTTTGGACTTAGCAGTATTCCTGAAATTTTTCAAAAAAAAAATATGGAAATTTTTGGGGATATTCCTAATGTTTACATATATTTTGATGATTTGATTTGTTGTGGTATGAATGAAAAAGAGCATGATGAAGCTTTTAAAAAAATTTTAGAAAGGGCCTTAAAATACAATATTAAATTTAATTTAGAAAAATTGCAATACAAGTTAAGTGAGGTAAATTTTTTGGGAACATCCTATCCGACAATGTCCACCCTTTAATAAAACATGTTCAGTGTGCCAAAGAAGAGGACATTTTGCAAAGATGTGTTTTTGGAAAGATAAAAACATATTACAAAATCAAGCCAGGAAAGTTGAGGTTGTAAATGAAATGGCAGCAACTGCACAAACAAGTAAAGTGGAAACTGTAAGTAATGAAGATCACCTTTCTCATGAGGATCATGTTTTTGTTTGGGAAAGCAAACAATCTAATAAAATTTCAAGTTGGTATGAAAGCGTTAGAATTATTGATAAGAATATTGTATTTAAGCTTGACTCGGGGGCTGAGTCAAGCATTTTGCCATTAAAATATTTTAAATTGGTGGGGCTAGATCAAAAAGATATAACCCCATCATCAATAACAATTGTCTCATATGGAGATTTTAAATCAAAGCCTTTAGGTTATGCTACTTTAAAATGTTATTATAAAAATCAAGTTAAAGATGTTCAGTTTCTTATTGTAGATCTAAATACAGAACCTCTTTTAGGATTATCAGATTGTATTGAATTTAATATGATTTCACGTATAAATACAGTGCAGAATAAGTTATTTCATTCAAATATTACTTTGCCAAAAAATATTAATGAATTTGAATGTTTCCATTGTCCACTATGATAAAACAGCTAAAAACTTACCTACTCTTCAGAAAGGCGATAATGTATTATTCCGGAAGAATAATTCATGGCAAAAAGGTAAAGTAGTTGATAGGTATAATGAGAGGTCATATTTGTTAGTTGATACAAAAGGCCAACAATTCAGAAGAAATCGGCAGTTTTGTTTTGACAATACGGTTCAACAATAATTGAGAGGGAGCGAAACCTATACCTGTAAGAGGCGTATTTCTGTATTACATCAAACAGTTTTGCAGCTCGTTTACGTTACTAATTTTTTTTAGCATATTTTTACATATCTGAACATATTTTTCTGCAAAACCGTTTGATTGGTGGTGATCAGGACTTGAGAACTCTAATTCAAAATTCCATTCCCGAGCAAATTGTTTCATGCAAAAACTATTAAAAGGAACATTATCTGCAAAAGTCAGGTGTGGGGTATTATAAAAATAACTATTCTGGAGAACTTTATTTTCTTTATTTTTAATCATATAACTTACATTACGGGCTCTAACGAGCGGCCATCATTGTTCTCTGTCAGCTGTCAGCTTAAGCTGTCTACACACTAAAGTTCATGATCTTAAGCTGCATACAGACTAACACAAACAGTAATGTCTAAAATACAACTTAGATTCTACTCTAAACATAAAACTTAATTCCTGAATATACAACAGTATGTACTACTGAATATAGAGGCATCTATATTTGTTTATCAATAGAAAGATCTCCAACAAGCTAACAATATTTAGAGTGTCCTCACCCACACTACATGGTTTGTTATAGTATCATGCCCACACCCTGACAAGGGCTTAAGTAATGAGGAGGGGGAGGATATTTGTTACAAATACTTTACTAAAGAAAATTATACAAATAAATAAGGGTGTTTTATTTTGTTGTTTTCTGGACTTTGATTTGTTAATGTAATGGAAAACAGATATGATCGTAAAATAATAAATAAAAACTTTCCTGTACCATAATATATACTCATTCTGCCTGATATTATGTTATACATTTGTGTGTTATATTCATCGAGCAAAAAGATAAAAGAGGGAATCTAATCGTTATAAAAAGGAGACCAAAAAAGTGGCCTCTGATGGCGGACATATCCGGAAATGCAAAGGCGCTAAATTTAAATTTTCCAACACTTGTTAACAAGAGCTGTAAAATATTTTTCAGACAAGAAAGTTTTAATAAAATATTAACGATAATAGTCTAAAAAGTGACACAATTGGTAAAAAACTTCAATATAAATAAAATTTCATGTGACAGTTGGGACAAACAATAACATAACCAAACTAAATTTGACTTCTTAAACAAGGAAAGAGACTGTCTTTCCTTGTTTAAAGTGGCCTCTCAAGATAGCACTTCCTGTCTAACAATATTTTTGTCCCCACTACCTTTACATTCCTTCTTTTATCTTTTTGCTCGATGGTTATATTATATAGCCTTATGTTATAGTTTAAGATATAGGTGCCGGAGTTAGGCAACACGGATGACGGGGGTTAAACAAGTCATGTGAAGGTAGCCGAAGCTGGGGCATGGATGTATGTTTTAGGTTTGAGAATAAACTGATGTTTATGTGAAGTAACGATTATTATTTGTAACCCCTCTTCGATAACACGACAACATTTATATATAAAAATGCGTGTATAAGGTTATACTATCTTTTTCGACATAGAGAATATATTTTTTGGTATAGAATAAGCTTTTATTTATTATTTTATGACTATATTTATTTTCCATGAAAAGCGTACTTTTTGAATTTTGCCGTCTAAAATTCAGGACCTACGTTTTAAATTTGCCGCCAAATGAAATTAGTTTCGGCCCGTCCGCACATGGTGCTAGAAACTCTCTCTCAAATATGGGATTTACTTTACTCTATTATTTACGCCCAATCCATAGGCGGTAACTGTGGTACCACTACAGGGTTAGAAAATATAAATAAAAAAATTAGTCAATATAGAAATCTAGTAATTGTTGAAAATTGTGCTAAATAACATTAAAAATAAATATCGGAAACAAAATAATATGTAAAATATATTTTTTGTTAATCATCATCATTCTCTTTGCCTTTAACACTGCTTAAGCCTCTCCCACCAGGTTTCTTTTGGTCTTCCTCTCTTCTTTCCAGGAAATTGCAAATCAGCTATTCTTCGTATTTTCATATTATTTCCTTATAGGTAGAGTTTAAATATGCCCCAACTATTTTTTATTTTCGCTTTTGCCTATTTACTCTATTTTTGCCAATATATGCTTTAAATCCCTAAAAATAAGAAATCATTGCACACTAGTAGGCCTTTTTCGTGTAGAGTGGAAATCTTCTAAAGACTGTACCAGGTGAACGGTACCTGGCGTGAATTAGATTCAGAGTAGACGGAGTATATCTAAACTCTAAACGCAATTTCCTTTTTGGAAAGTCCCATCCTTTCTCTTCTCTTTTCTCTTTCCATCTATGGCTTATGTTCTGTTGTCTCCAGCGGTGCTCCAGCATTTCTTTAAACCCATTTCCCCTTTCATATATATGTCACGGTCATAAAATTGTACTTTACATTTTTAACATAATATGATTATACAAAAGTAAATTATTATTTAAGATCAATAAACAATTTTGTATTTTAAGGTTTAGGACAAATTTAGCTATAACAATTTAAAATTAATGGACTTATTTTAAGCATTCTCTTTTTTAATAATAGAATGCTCATCCTTATTGTTAAAAAGACGTAAAAAAGGACAGACATATTAATCGATAAGACGCGTGACGACAGCTATTACTTGTCAATGTCAATTAATAAACAGCTGATTACAAGTAAAATGGCGAATTACATTTTATTCAATTATTTGGAGAAAATAATATTTTGAGCGTAATCCGTCCTTAAAAAGCTCGAATTTATCAGGTAATTATTACGAGCAAATCCAAAACTAATTGTAATGAGAATATCAAATAAATGACTTCTCTTGACTGGCTATGTTGTTGTACCAGTTTAAACCACTTTATTACTCCTAATATTTATTGCCGTTGTTAAATCAAACGCAGATTATTTTAAAACTGGAAAATTAAGTCACGTGATCGGAGCTAATGCATGTAATCTTTAATTTAAATCAATTTATTTTTTATCTGAACTTTTCTTATTGAAAGACATCTTAAATGAACCATGTTTTTTAGATATCTAAAATGCCTGGCACAAGTTTGGTAGTTCCCGTTGTATTATGGGGCAAATACGCCCCAACACATTGTATTTCATGTGTTTATCTATCAAAAGACCTCAAGACTTTGGCAACTGGATGTTATGATGGTCAAATATGTTTGTGGTGAGAAAACATTCTTTAAATATTTTTATACCATAATATAAATATTACTTTATACCCTATACATGTTTGTTATTGAGATTTACATTTTAGTCATATTAAACTATCTATAACATTATTTAAATTTATAAGGTACATTTGAATACATTAATTTGTATGGTTTGTTTTCAAGTTTTTCTTCTATTCAGAGCAAAAGAGTAGTCAATAAAAATTATTATCAATTTAACCTGTCATATTGTTTACAGTATAAACAATTTAGTAAATAATATTGATTGATTAGTAGCAGATATATTTTATTGTAGATTATACTGTTATGATGTGAAACATTTTGATAACAAATTGACAAATATATTTTAACTTTGAACATTTTGCTTTAATTTTCTAGTAACTAAACTATATGTTAGTGAATTCTTTCAGTTTACTGAATCTTTTCAATAAATTTGTTATTATGATTACTTTGACTGTATACTTTGTGGATAACACATTTACACAACTTTTTATATTGTGTCTTTTATTATGCTCTAATTACTACATCTAGTAAAAGTAATAGTCAATGAATTTAACCTTTTGATCCTAGGCAAGTAGATCCAGATACCTTACAGATGATTCCAAGATGTCTCTTGGTTGGTCACACAGCTCCAATACTGTGCATCACAAGGGCTTCTATGATACAAGATAACAATTATATTGTTTCCAGTTCCGAAGCAGGTGAAATGTGTACCTGGGATTTGATAGATGGTAAATGCAGAGAGGCAGTCAAGTTGCAACAAGTTCATACCAATATGCAGGTATTTTTCTTTGTTTCTGCTAAACTTAATTTAATTAATACGTAAAACGTTATTCAAGATGCAATGTAGATCAACATTTCAATATAGTTTCAGGTTGAATCAATAGTAGAGGTATTCAACTGTGTAATGTTATTCAATTAGAATTTCTACTACCTATACACACCCTACTCCATAGTGTAGTAGGATGTGTATATATCTATGTTTATACATCTTTATAAATTTTAATCAATATGTTCCACACCTCTTTGCCAATGACACTGACATTTATTCCATGTATACCAATTATTGACCATTTTCACTTTAAAAAGGACTCCTGAAAAAGCCTAATAATTTTTCTTAAGGTTGGTTTTTCAGCAAATAACTTTCGTCTTCTTCTTCCTCTTTATAAGCAATTCTGCTTGTTCAATGGCAGATTAGTACCTCTATGGAAGATTGTCACTCCATCTTTTGCGCGGTCATCTGATACTTCTTCTGCCAATTGGTGACTTATCTCTTGCTATTTTGACCGCATGGGCCTCCTCCATTCTGCTTATGTGGCTATCCCATTCTTTTTTTTTCTATTATTTTGTGTCCATACACTGTACATTACATTTTCTTCTAATGTCTTCATTTCTCTTTTGATCTCTCAGTGTTTTTCCTGTAATTCTTCTCAGTATTCTCATCTCTGCCGTTTCCAGTAGCATTTATGTTGTGGCTGTTCGGATCTTGTTTCTTGTCTTAGACTGGCTTTATAAATTCTTAACTTCATCTCAGTGTTAATGTGCCTGTTTCGCCATATAGTGTTATTAAGGCATCTTGCCAATCTATTTGCTTTTTGTAGTTCATCTCTCACTTCTTTGTCCAGGTCTCCATAGCTAGACAGTGTAATTCCCAGGTATTTTATTTCCATTATTTGTTCAATACTGATGCCATCAATTTCTATTTTACATCTGGTCGGTTCTTTGCTGACTACTATTGTTTTAGTTTTCTGAGATGAGATTGCCATATTAAATTCTTTTGCTCTGCTATACTCTAGCGATTTCTTAGTAATTTGCTTTAGAACTAATATTGCATCTATACATGATCTTCCACTACTAAAACCCTGTTGTTCATCTGCTAAACTTATCTTCTGATTTATTAGCACTTGTAAATTTTAGTTGTAAGTTTTAGCATAGTATTTAACAAGTTTATACCTCTGTAGTTTTCGGTTATCTGTGTAGTTGTCTGTATTTTATTATGTTTTATAATTTTATTAATTAATGTTGTTAATTGAGATGTGAACATTCATTTTACGCCAATAAAAAAATACATTGTTCTATTCCATCTAGAAGCCTTGATATGTTATTTTTTTAAGTTTGTAATTTGTCTTTTTCATTTATTTCATAGTCAAATCACGTCATCATCATACATTAAACACCAAGCAAAATCAACTTGGAATTTCATTATCATCATTTTGGCTTTACAACCCTGTATATATATATATATATATATATATATATATATATATATATATATATATATATATATATATATATTATTTGTAGTCTCAGCAATTGGTCTGTGTGAAATAAAACTCTATTTGTTATTTCTCAATATTTCGTCACGATTTTGTGACTTCTTCAGGAGAAAACTGTAAATTTATTTTAATTATTATATGTAAACAAAATGAATATTTCAATACTTACAACTTAAGATTAAAAATTTTAAATTTTAATAACATATCCAATTAGATAAATGACATTTTTTTTGATTTAATTTATTTGGGAGTTATGGTAACCGCAATATTTTATAGAGTGAATTCCCATTGTACAATTTTTAGCGAATAAGTTTTAATAAACAATTACATATTGTGACAGTATTATCCATATAATAAGGTGCAAAAGTAGAATATTGAGAAAGAATCAGGAACATGTTAAATTGATCTATAAAATGTAATTGATGGTACGTAGTCAGTTATTGGTCTGATGTTGTTAGATACTGATATGAAGATCTATCATATTATATATTGTTTAGTATATTACAGTAGATATTACTTAAATGGTTGGTGTCTGTCTTATAATTGATAGATTCTGGAGTTTTATTAATGTGTACCATTTCAAGGAAAAGTCGATTTTTATAATTATCAATTTGTTCTAATATTTTTACATTATTAAAGTCAAAGTTATGTCCTGTCTTTAAGTGGTGGTCTACTAAGGCACAAGAGTTTTTTCGTAAGTTACAGTCACTTTTGTGTTGAGTGACACGTTGTTTAAGCCACTGTTGACTTTGTCCAATATAACAACTTTGACATTGACTTATATATATATTATATATATATATATATATATATATATATATATATATATATATATATATATAATATAGTTACAGTAAAAAATATCCCAGGATATTGAGATTTGTGGGTTTTATAACAAAGTACATAATAGAATGTTTAGTAAGTTTTGTTGTTCAATAAGAATAAGAAATGCTGAAATATATTCTAGTAATTTTCTAATGCACAAATTCCATGTGTGCTCCTTTCCAAATGCAGCCAAAGCGAGGTTTATTTTTATTTTCAGCTTGATTGTTTTGTTGTCTCGACTTATTCCGACTAAATTTGTCATAAATTGTGTTTTTGAAAAATTTATTTTTAAGACCAACTCTTTTTGTGGCAGTATGGAGTTCTTGGAGCATTATCTATGCCTGATCATCTGCAAATTTAAGGCTATTTAAAAATTCTCCATCTACATTGATGTCCTTTTTGTTCCAATCTATTGTTTTACAAGCGTATTCTAAAAAAGTTGTAAATAATTTAGGAGACATGTTGTCTCCTTGCCGAACGCCTCTTTAAATACGAAAGGTCCCAGTATCTTATGGGGGATATGTATTGGTGATCTATTCTACATTGTGTTAAAGCTTGGATCATTTCACTTTGATTGACTGTATCAAATGCTTTTTCAAAGTCGGAAAGACAAGTATCAGGGGTCTAATATATTCAATGGTTTTTTTCAATTAACGACTTAATGGTTTGCAAATAATCATTTGCTCCGTATCCAGCTCTAAATCCTGCTTTTTGATGAAGTCTAGTTTTGATGTCAACCTATTAGTTATTATCGTCATAATCAACTTATAAACGTGAGATAACAAGCGAATAAGTCTATAGTTCTTTAGCTCTGTTTAATTAATGGAACATTCATATTTTTTGTATAGATAATCGTTTTCTCTCAAATTTTATGTCCAGTTGGTTCACAACGATATTGGATCGAAATAATCATACGAAAATAAAATTTTCATCCATGTAACAACATACAATGTTGTTCTGTCCGTCCATCCGTATGTCTGTCCAATCTTAGGTTTAAATAACTGTAATGTAATGTAATAGAAAAAAGGTTCTACTCGACGACAGATTCTGATTCAGCACTTATATCATGGCAAAAATTGTCAAAACAGACATACTCTCTTCTGGTTTTGAGAAAATTGATAAAAACTGTGTAACTTGCAAACGACGATATATATAATTATTTTCACAATGGATTCGTAATCAGCATTCAAAAATATCTCTAAAAACATGTCTGGTTGGGTGTTGACTCAAAAAAAAACTCCAATGCTAGGCCCTATAAATGAGAACAGGTGGCGAATCAGATATAATTATGAAATATATAATATCTCAGTATATCTGCCTACAGCGTCTTGAATGGGCAGACCATGTATTCAAAATGGAAAAAACAAGCTTCCCAAAAAACTGTTAAATGCAAGAATGCAGGGAAGAGACCTATTGGAATACCGAGAAAGCGATGGGAGAATGATGTGGATGAGAATGCCAGAAATCTCCTTGCCATTCGATCGTGGAGGAGAATGACTACCGATTCTAAAGGATGGAAAGGTTTGATGAGAGAGACCAGGGCTCGAATTGGGCTGTAAAGCCATAAGAGGATGGAGGATGGAACTCACTTTCTAGTGATAGTATTAGGTTTACATCGCTTATTACCTTCTTGTTTTGACTTAAAATAATGTTAGAGCCTGGTCTAATACAAAATGATGAAACCTTTTGTATAAAATCCTTTTTATTCTTTCTAAAATTTTTTCTATCCTATCTAAAACGGTCCAAATCTTGCTGGTAATCAAGTATGTCGGCATTCAACTATGTTTTTGTTCCATTGTTCGTAAATGTCACACCCATTGTAAACAAATATTTCTAAAACCCAAAACTTTAGTCAATATATTGCTCTGAGATCCATAGGTCTTTTACTAAATCTATTTTTTGCTGATGATGCAATTTTTGGAGGTCGCTCATATGGATTTTCGACCACCTTTAAAGGCAGCAATCCATTTTTCTACTGTTCTATTGTCTTATAATCGTTTATTATGAATTTACTTTAGCACCATACCTTCTGAAAATAAACGTTTTATAATGCGCTATATAAATGTTTATATAACTTTGTAAGTTCTCATCCAATAGTACTACCACCCTTAAAAAAATAGAAGAATGAATCTAATGTATATAAATTATTGAACAACCCATTATATACAATAGTTTTGTGGTTAAAGTGACTTAAAGTATGTTTCCAAATTTAGAAAACAATGAAATTGTTTTTATAAATAACTGAAATTGCATATGTGTGCTAATAAATATAATTAAAGCTCCAATACTGTTCATATAAATAACAAAAACTAACTGGTGAATATTTGTTGTGTAAACATGCTTATATTTGTGTTTATAATTTTTTGTAGTTGACATTGCTACTATTACTATTGATACTGTGTTTGTGTGGGGTTTTATATGTTTTTAAGTTATTCATATTTTGTAAACTTTTAAATGTTAATGCATAATTAGACTAGTATAATTATGTACACATAATTGTCACTCATGGGTTATTTTCGCTTTAAATGTAATGATAAGTTACAGAATTAAGAAGTTTATTATTGGCAAAAAAATGTTAAATTTGTGTCGTTAATGGATTATACCAGAATATTTAGATATTTTGATATGTTGGATATATTTAGATGGATTATACCAGACAGTGGCGGAGCCAGAAATTTTT